ATGCTCAAGTGTGGCTGAAGATCATGCTGCAACTTAAAGGCAAAAAACGTTGGACGCCCGTCATTTGTTTTCCGTCTCTGGTGTAATTAGGGGCCAAATGGATGTAGTTTTTCTGGGACGCTATAAGCTTAAGGGTAGCAGCCACCTTTGTGTGCCTTTCCATTGTTCTTAGATCAGACGCGCCCGATTTTATCAGTGATACCAGTTTTCCGCCAATGCTTCCGAAAAGGCAAGAATTTCGATTTGAAGTACCATATCCTGCGGGAGAAATCTCACTGATCGTCTGTTCACTACCATGAAAGTGATACATTTAATTTTCCTTGCTTTTGCAACGTGTATGTTCTGTGATGTTTGCAGCTCACTGATTGGTCAAAATACTTATGTAATGAATTCTAGGAAATATAAAACACTAGAGAAGAAGTTATGCCAACATAAGGTCATTATCTCGCGCATTAACGGAACATTATACGATGGTTTTAATTTTTCCCTCATGTCGTTTGAAGCTCTTTCGAGGCACATATTGGCATTGGGAAACGGAGCATCGCATGGTCTATAGTGACGCACTGATTTAAACTTCGAAGCTCATACACTTCTCGGAAACTAGCCCTTGCCGTACGCTGTGCCAATGACAAACGTCCGTGCTCATTGACTTCATACTAGTAGAGGTGTCACTTTTAAGCCCACAGGCCTTAAATGTGCGGCTTATTGCAGGTCAAAAGTGGTACCTGCAACCAATAACAGCTGACCACGGCCCCCTCAGCAGATTCTGCCGTCGTCTGACGACAACGGTTGTCATGACGACAGCGGTGGTCATGTCGACAGCGATTGCCATAACTTCGGCGGTCGCGACAACCACAGTTATCGCGGACTCGGGGCATACTCTATATCGGTGTCCAAAGTACGTCCAGGCCTCCCCATGCAACCACCGCGAGCAAGGATACCCTTCTAATCGAAAGGTCACTGTGTTCATTTGAGGTCACTTACCTTGTTTGACTTTTATAAGGTCATGGTGACCAAAATCATAAAAGACTTCCTTGATTTGTGCGTTTTAATAAGCGTCAGGGATAATGATCGGCTGTACATTTCCAAAAACAAAAGATTGGCCTAAGTACTTTGAGGTCAGTGACTAATTCTGACCCTTAAAAGGCACATGGAGGATGTCCGATGCGGTTCCTTTTATCAATAAATTCAAGATAAGTACCAGAAACCACCTCATACAGCAAGCTCTCGAATAAGCAAGCAGGTTGGTTTTGAACTCGGTCTGACCTTCATACATGACTTCAGGTTAATGGAATTCATTGCAATCCAAAACGCAATTATTGTGTTGTCTGACACCCTATCTCAGAGATGCATGGCTTCGTCTAACATTTCGCTGTCGCATCAGGTTGAATGATACCCTGGGAATTGCCTTCGCTGACAGCCACGACCTGACCTGGACCTGTCATAGATCAGTGACCTCACATGGTATACCTAAATTTGTGATGCCACAAGATCCACTTCTCAATTGTCTACAGATGTCCAAAATCTTGCGTGTCTACACCACGTCGTTCGGAAATAATTCTGGAGGACCTCGGGAGGTCAAACTGACCCCCGCCGGAGAGCTTAACACGCGTTCGGTCGGGGTCAAATTGGGCACTACCCCTCCTAAAGATTTTTCCAGAATGGTTTCCGAACGGCGAGGTGTAGCAGCGCCAAATGTTGCATAGCTATAGAAAATTGAGTAGCGGATCGTGTGGCATCAAAAATTTAGATGTACTTTGTAAGGTCGATGACTTATGGCAGGTAAAGTCAGACCATGGTTTCAGCAAAGTCAATTTCTAAGGAATCGTTCAATCTGGTGCAACAACGGAGTGTTAGGCGAAGCTGTACATCTCTAAAAATGCTTTCTTAGGCAACGTCAATGGTGAATGAGCGAATTACGTTGACCTAAGGCAGTTATAAAGGTCAGACCAGGGTCAAAACCAACCTGTTTTATTTATCTAGAGCTTGCTGTATGCGGTAGCATATGGTGCTTATTTCGAGTTCATTGATAACAGGAACCGCATATACACCTTCCATTGACTTATTTTAGAACAGAACAGGTCACTTACTGAAAATGGCCCAGGTCAACATTTTGTTTTTAGATACATACTTCCTAGCGCTATTTTTGTCGCTTATTCAAACGCAACACTCAAAGCAGTCTTGTATGGTTTTGGTCGTCATGACCTCCAAACGGTTAGCAAGGCCACTACCTTAACTGAGCATGTGTCCTTTTGCATAGAAGAGTTACTTAGCTTCTAGGGGCTCCTTGGAGATCAATCCGAAATTTTACATTGATTGACCTATTTGGCCAGGTCATGGCATAGAAACCCCAAGTTTTGACCAAACTGTATTTCATGCGCAGGTCAAGACACCCTGTGAATTAAATGTTTTTAGCTCTCTTAGTTCCTGAGATCTCAGCGGCGGTCAAATTGATCCCGCCCTGTGCGAAGGGTCATCCAGCCGGCCGCCCGGGTGCGTGTTAAAAATGGTGCCATAACCGTGTATGCGAATGCAAGTAAACAATATAAAATCAAGAATAAATGAGCAAGAATACCACAATAAAGGGTAAAGATATGAGTGTATAACCACATTTGGGCTCCAAAAACACTCCGTGATCTAAATACGTTCCATGACGTAATCAAACGGTGGCGTATTGAAGAAAACATTTAGTAAACGGTGAAATGTTGTTAAGAGCAACCTTTAAATGGAATGCTCGACGTCTGCAGATATTGAGAAAAAAGCATAAGATATGTTGGAACAAACTCACTTATGACTGTTGGTATACTTTTCAGTACTATTGGAAGTACAGCCCTGGATAGCACAATTTCCTTACTTAGTAAATATGCTGCTCAATACGTCATTGCTTAATTGCGTGGGAACGTTTGTATGACGTTGGGGTGCTGCCCAACGAGCTGTGTGGAATGCAGCCCTTAGCACTTCCTTGTAGTATTTGTGCGGAGGTTAAAGAACGAATCATTTTATTAAGCGGCACAAAATATGCATTTTGCGAAACCAGCCCCGTTTGAATGTGAAGACAGGCGGTTGTCAGATTGAGAAAGATGTAATGCAAAGCCCGAAGACGCATCAAACCATGGCAAACGATGCTAACGCAACCATAATTTAGCGCAATCATGATGCCGGAGACGTACTGCGTTGATCATGGTAAAATGCATTTGAATGAACACCTACGAATTTGCGCTTTCCTGTGAGTATGAGGGATATGAAGGCTTCGCCAAAGTGCATGCCGAGTTACCAGCTTAATGTGGCAGCGTGGCTACATTCGAAGGAGCAGCCTCGCCGTCATATTGAAGACTTCTACAATCTTGCGATACTTCAACTTGACGCAGATGGTTTGACGGATGTGGCGTTGCTGTTACCTCGACGCTGATTGGCTGTGGTAGCCACGGAGGCAGGCACAGTATTTTCAAGCCTAGCACCTTACAGCGCTCGCGTATAGCGGGCGGGCGGACGTCTCTGCGATTACAGCGCGTGTATTCGGTTGTGGGTGTCGCTGGTTGGCTGAGCTGGTGTCAGCCGGGTGCTGATCTAAGGTATCTGAAAAAGACATGGGTAGGTTGAAGCTTTGCGTTCTATGAAAGCATTGTCCCATTTTAGATGCGCTAACGCTGGTTATCGCGCACGCTGAGGGTTGCCAAAGTTTTGTGCCAATCTGGTAACATTTGTAATATGCTATGTGACCTGCGGAGACCATGAATTATATAGTTATAAACTGTGTGGGCTTCTTAACTGTTCACATGCTACTACGTCATTAGCTGTGGCTTTTATTGCTTGTTTACCCCACATGTAATATGTTGACACAGTCCAGACTGGTTTGCGTGACCATCTGGAATATCCAGTTGCTACAGGATGTCATCGAGCCCTTGCTCCTTTATGCTATGGGACGCCAAAACCTGATTTCTACCTCAG